TCGCCTGGCTGGTGGTCATGAATGCCTGCAAAATATTCTTCAGATCAGCCATCTGATTATCTGGAGCTGCAGCTGCTGGAGGCTGGGCATACTGGCGCTGGGGCTGCTGGAATGGCTGCCCCTGCCTAGGCTGGTAGGGCTGCTGCTGTGGTGGTGGCCCCTGCCTAGCCTGGAAGGGCTGCCTCTGCTGAAAACCACCCGCTGGTGCTGGGAAACCAGGTGGTTTGGTGTTGTTGCTGCTCCAGGCAAAGTTGGGATGCTGGCGCCACCCCTCATTGTAGGTATTGCTGTATGGGTCCAGGCGCCGAGCATTGGCGATGAAGTCCACCTGCTCTTGGGGAGTAGAGGACTCCCTCATAGACTGACAATCCTCCACCAGGTGGTTCGGGCTCTCACACCACTGACACTGAGCTACTGGAGGCGTAGCTACACCTCGGGCCGGAAGGAGACTGTTGGGCTGCTTCAATGTCTGCACCAACTCAGCCACCTGCTGTTCTAAACCGGACCTGGCCTCCACAGCGTGCACACCACGGTCCCGGGACTGTCTGCCTCTGCTGCTCTGCCCCCAGGAATGATCGCGGGCAGCCAAGGTACTGATCATCTGGTTCAGCTCGGGTGGAGTCTTAGTGAGAATATCCCCTCCTGGGCATAGAGACTCGATCACCCTCTGGCTGTCTGGGGTGAGGGCACTGTAGAAGTTCCCCACTGTGAATGCATCACTGAAGCCATGATGGGGACACTGCCAGAAATATCCCATGTACGGCTCCCATGCATCACGAAGTGACTCATCTGGCTCTTGGCGGAAGTGAGTGATCTCCCGCTGAATCTCTGTGGTCTTCGATGCCGGATAGTACCTGTGCACGAACTTGTCTGCCAGATCGTCCCAAGAAGTGATGGACAATGGGGGCTGGGTCTCCAACCACCTCTTAGCATTCCCCGCCAGAGAATGGGGGAAGAGGTGAAGGCGGATTGCGTCATCAGGAACACCGTTGAGCTTGAACCCGTTCGTCAGCTGCAGAAAACGGGAAAGATGCACCCGGGCCTCCTCATCCTTCAAGCCATGGAACTGGATAGAGGATGTAATGAGTTGAATCCAGCATGGCTTGATCTCGAAGTTGTTTGCTGGAATTGGCGGATAGAGGATGACCGGGCGGATGTCAGCAATCCGTGGAGTGTAGTAGTACTCCAAGGTGGGACCCGGTGGTGGTGGATGATGATGGACCCCAGCTCCCTGGGGATTGGGGTCGTTCCCCAGGAACTGGTTCCCAGGAGGTGGGTTGTGGTCGTCTTCCATCTCGTACTCGTCCTCGGACTCGCTGCTCAATTGGCTCTCTCTGCGCTCCACCGTAGCCAGTCTAGCTCGCTGTTGTCTCTGCGCTCCACCGTAGCTAGTCTAGCTCGCTGTTGTCTCCAACCACCTCTTAGCATCCTTCAATCTCTGGATCCAACGGCAGTAAACCTCCCGACTGGCCACGAGTCATGCACTATCTGCACACAATCAAGCAATGCAAACCCGTGAAGGTACAAGTGGGAAAGAACAAACACTCAATATGAGAATGAAAATGTTAAAGTAACAGAAAGCACTTTTCTTCAACAACCTAGCCGTCCCCGGCAACGGCGCCAAAAACTTGACTCACTCCTACTGTCACTCTAGAAAATGGCCAAGTGTAACCACTTCCTAAAGCGTAGTATAGCGGGTTTGGGTTTTAATGTCAACCCGGGTCCTAGATATGATGACTACTCAGTGAATTCGTATTATCTAGCAATGAAACTTTAGTGAAGGTCTAAACTAACAAGCAAGCAAAGCAACTAAACGGTTGTTTTCAGGTTAAGAGAGGTCACCCGGATATGGTTCCCCCTAGACTGCAGTTAAGCCGGATTGTAATTACCAAGTTCAATTTCTATGATAATTATACTGCGGAAGGTTCTCAAACAGTCTGAAGTCTCGACTAAAGGTCTCCAGACCCTCTCAATCTGAGTCTCTAGCGGGCAACTAACCTCCACCGGAGTAAACAGATTGAGGCCCTAACGAACCAAACCTCCACTACCGAATTGAATTCGGTACAGAATAGCGAATTGGCTCCTCGACTAAAGTCACCAATTCACTACCTTCAATTAAGGATACTCTATCAACCTAGGCAGATATTCTCATTCTAGGTTAAAGCAGAAACAACAGGAATTTGATCAGGATTCATGCCATTCAATCATTCAAACCTCAATCGAATATAATCAAATCATAGAATCAATACTTGGGTTCATACAATCAAACCTAACATACAAATCTAGGGTTTCCCACACCCAGATGAATGGGAGAACTACTCCATGGAGAAAGAAGCAAAAGCAGATTCAGACGCGGAAATCATACTGTGAAGGATGGATTTCTGCTCCTGGACGTTGTTCGGCACTCCTCCAAGCTCAAGCCAAGCTCCAATGGTGATGAAGATCAAGCTAGGGCACTTGGAGACTCTTGTTCGTCGCTTTCTCTCTCTAGGAATCGCTTTGTCTCTCTAAAACTCGAATCCCCTCTCTTTTTGGATGAAATCTGCCTAAAAGGGCATCACTGGCCAGAACACGGTCGAGGACACGGCCGTGTTCTGGTCCAGCCCGCCCGTGCCCTCTGCCACGTGGTAAATACACGGGCACGGGCTGGGGAAAACACGGGCGTGTTTTGATGTGGACACGACCGTGTTTTGAGGCCTCCTGCCCGTGTTTTAATGCTTGTGCAGGAGACATGTGGAGAGCCTCGACAGTAAAAGCACGGCCAGGAACACGGCCGTGTTATGAGGCCTCCTGCCCGTGTTTTGGTCCTGGCTCGACCAAACGACTTCCAAATGCTCCGAAACTCGCGCTTGGCCTTCCCTTCGACGCCTGGGACCTGAAATAGGACAAAGTAGCACAACCCGGCGTAAAATAGGCCAAAACATACAACTACGCTCCGCAAATGGATAAGAAATAGGGGTATAAAATCATGCAATTACATCATTATCAGTGAGGCTCGATGTTCAAGAAGGCTTGGAGCTGAGCAATTTGCGCAGGGGTAAGTCCATGAACATTGCTGGGTGGAGATTCAACCTGGGCTGCTTGTGGTGTCGAGGAAGGTTGGGATCTTGGTCCACCTCCACGACGACGCTGCCTGCCTCCATTGCCACGACCAGCAGGTGGCGTTGAAGTCGGCCAGCCAATGAGTTCGAAACAAGTCTGCTTGAAGTGACCCGGCTTTTGACAGTGAGTGCAGAACGGTCGTCCCTCCGGAGTCCGATCCTCACCAGGTGGTCGTTCACCCTTGCCTTGGAAGGCAGCAGCCTCCACACGACGGCGACGATCATCCGTGAGGTGGCGTTGCTGTTCGTCGTTGGCTACGACACTGTAAGCTTCGCCGAGTGACGGTATGGGCGTCATGGAGAGGAGGGAAGCTCGGACGGTGGCGAAATCATCATTCAACCCCACCACGAAGTCCAGCACGCGCATCGCGTGAAGTGATGCACGAGTCCTCTTCTCCACGTCGCATTCGCACTTGCCACAGGTACAGCGCGCCGGCGGATCGAGCGTGAGGAGATCATCCCACAGTCTCTTCAGTCACGCATAGAACGTGGAAACAGTAGACTTGTCTTGGCGGAGGTCGGCGATCTGGCGGCGCAGCTGATACCGACGTGGGAGGTTTCCAGTACTGAACCTTTATTTTAGTTCATCCCATATTTCTTTCGCCGTGAAGCTGGAGCTGATGCTGCTGCGGATTTCTCTGCTCATGGACACACGCAACCAGCCAACGACCATTGCGTTGCAGCGGACCCACGCATCTTGCTTGGCGCCGGCAGCGGGCTTGGGAACAGTGCCGACCACAAAACCCATCTTGTTTTTGGCCAAGAGGGCATTAGACATCTCAGCAGCCCAATCCCCATAGTTGGAGTCCGTGAGAGGATCACTCACGAAGACGAGATTGGGATGATCCGCCGAGGTAAGGAAGAGGGGCGACGCAGGTCCGATGACGTCGGATTGATCAGCGTCGCTGGTAACAATGTCATTGTTACTCATGATGACGAGAAGAGTGACGAGGCTTCGAAAGATGTAGTGTACGGCCTTGACGATGCGGAAGCGATTCTAGATCGATGTTCGCTCTGATATTTTGAAGAATTCGATGAAAACTGGAGCACGAACACACGATATTTACGTGGTATCCTCGTTCGGTGTGAACGAGACTAATCCACGGAGAGTTGCGACTCTCGGCTTTAGGTTTTATTGATCTTGTGTTTCTTGGTTACTAAGAGCGGCAACACTTATTCAGCATATATATACAAGTGACTGCATAAACCCTACACGGAAACTAAGGGGGAAAATTACATAATGGACCCCCAGGTAATGAAATGTAACCGTGATTATCAATTGACTGATCGTCGATAAATATTTTTTTGGGATGGTTTTGACCATTACTAAAGACTTACAAACAGTCCCTTTCTGGTAAATTGTAATTGATCGATCTCGTCAGGAAACAAGTGGTATACTGGTATTAATTGGTATCTTATCAATCCAGGCCAACCTTGAAATCTGTGCACGTAAATGGGAACGGAGTAATTTAAACAGGTCGTAAAGTTGAATTAAATAGTGAAGTCAGTGAAAATTGATTGCCTACGCCTACGGTATGGGAAGGACTGAAACGACTTCTGACGACTGAAACGAAGTTTAACTACCACAGTCGATTTTTCCCTTGAATCATAAATAACACCCCATATCTCTAATAATCTCTTACCCCCGCCCACATTATTTCTGACGGTCACTGAGTGATAAAAAAAAAAGCCATCCAGCCAATGTGATATCCGATGGCGTGTGAATAATAATAATAATAATAATAATAATAATAATAATAATAATAATAATAATAATAATAATAATAATAATAATAATAATTCCTGTATATATATGCTCAACGCACACGGAGAACATTTCCCTTCATCACCCTCTTCAGAAAAAAGAAAGATAATTATATACCGTCGATCTCCTGCCCAATGGAAACCATCTTCGTGGCAGCGTTGGTGTCGCTACTGTACGCAATCCTCAACATCTGCCGGTACCTCCACCGGAAATCCCACCAACGCAGCTGCTGCTACATGCTGGCCTACCAGTGCCACGTGGCCCCCGACGATCTCAAGCTCAGCACGGGGACCTGCTCCAAGATCGTCCTCCGCAACCACAACCTGGGCATGGAGGAGTTCCGGTTCCTCCTCAAGACCATCATCAGCTCCGGCGTCGGCGAGGAGACCTACTGCCCCGCCAACATCCTCCAAGGCCGCGAAACCACCCCGTCGCTCCACGACTCCCTCCAGGAGACGGACGACGTCGTCTTCTCCACCCTCGACAACCTCTTCGCCACCTCGGGGATCTCCCCTTCCCAGATCGACATCCTCGTCACCACCGTCTCCCTCTTCGCCCCGTCGCCTTCCATCTCGTCGCGGATCGCGAACCGCTACAAGATGAAGGAAGGGGTGCAGTCGTTCAGCCTGGCCGGGATGGGGTGCAGCGCCAGCCTGGTGGGGATCGATCTGGTGCGGCGCATGTTCACCGTGCACCCCAACGCCTTCGCCCTCGTGGTCAGCACCGAGAACATCGGGGCCCACTGGTACCAAGGGAAGGACCGCTCCTTCATGCTCTCCAACGTCCTCTTCCGAACCGGCGGCGCCTCGGTCCTCCTCACCAACGACCCGAGCTGGAAGGACCGGGCCATCCTCAACCTCGTCGCCAGCGCACGGACCCACCTCTCAAGCGACGAGGCGTACGGGGCCGCGCTGCAAGTGGAGGACGACCAAGGCTACCGAGGGTTCCGCCTCTCCAAGGACCTCCCCCGAGCCGCGGTCCAGGCGCTGGTGCGCAACTTCCGCGTCCTGCTCCCCAGGGTGCTCCCCGCCTGGGAGATCGCTCGATACGTCGTCGTTTACAGCTACACGTTTTGTAAACGGAGGAGGAGGAGGACGCCGCTGATCAACATGAAGTCAGGGATCCAGCACTTCTGCGTGCACCCAGGGGGAAGGGCGGTGATCGACGGCGTGGGGAGGAGCCTGGGGCTTGGGGAGGAGGACCTGGAACCTTCTAGAATGACGCTGCATCGGTTCGGGAACACGTCGTCTGGCGGGCTGTGGTACGTTTTGGGGTACATGGAGGCGAAGAAGCGGCTGCGGAGAGGGGAGAGGGTGCTGATGATTAGCCTGGGAGCGGGGTTTATGTGCAACAGCTGCGTGTGGGAGGTTTTGAGGGACGTGGGGGATGTGAACGTGTGGGGGGATTGCATTCAACGGTATCCTCCTCTGACGTTGGTCAATCCTTTCGCTGATAAGTTCGATTGGATCCACGAGGATTACATGAACTTCATCAGGCTTGAAGATTATGACCGCGCGCAGTTCGACATGTAGTGTTTTTTTTTTTTTGGTTATTATTAAGGACGTCGCTTTCATTTTTTTATCAACTGGGGGGGTTTGATCAATCATGTGGCGATAGCTATAGATGGAGGTGGGGACTGGAGAGTGGAGATGGGAGGGAAGAGGGTATGTTTTCATCATGGGTGCGCTTTATTCAAGTGTACCAAATGTTTTAAATATCTTGGTTTTTATTAGTGCAATAAATAGGATTTTTTACCCAAAGTAATTTAGTTTCATGAAAAGAATTCATAAAATACACTAGTTTTTTTTATTATTATTATTATTATCAAATTTTCCCTATCTATACATGCTTTGCGTTGATCGTTTTTGTCAGACATGATTTTTGCATATAAATCGATATTAATCGTTGAGACCTGAGAGGACAAGCGCGATCTATAAAAATCGTTGATGGGTAAAGCCATCTACATGGATCGTCCTAGACAAAAAGCGATTTTACTGCCAAATTGCGTTGCCATCCATTTACCTCTTGCTCAAGGTGACAAAGACATACTTTACACTCCCCTAAAATCTTTCATGAAACATGTTTGGCTGCCGAGTAGGGCATCCTAGCTAGTTGGGCGCAACTGTTCGGGGTTAGGGAGTCGAATAGGCTTCAATTCATAGCTCCGACTGTCGTTGATGGTTCACTTGTCATCCCGCGCGCTCTATGCGAAGAGAGGCGGCGGTCTTAACTTCGAAGCCGAAAATCGAGCAGCTGAGACGGTGGGCGCATAGATTTTGCGGGCGGGATGGGAAGGTCCAGGTCTCGCATTTTGGAGACAACATGTTCATTTCAAATTCGAGGGCTAAATCCTGTATTTCGGGCTACTCCAAATTTCATTCTAAGGGCTAAGCTGCAACCTGTTATTTGGCAACAAAACCAACTCTCCTGCTATTTCCAAACTACACAGCCAACGACATCATCAAGTTAGATCAGTTTTTATATGTGAGATATGTCTAAGGGATCGACTTTTAATTTAATAAGGGCGTAGTTCGAAATTTTTTATTAAATCAATTATCCACGTATGCCAAACACGGTTTGGGATTTCAATTCGTTTTATTTCTAAAAATTCGAATATGACATACTAAACACATTAATTCATTTTACAATGATAATAATTCATTTTAAAATAAAATGAATTCTCGATTCATTTGGTACCAAACGTTCTGTTATGAAAAAAAAAAATGATTCAATCCAAATTATCTGCCCCTACCACCACATACAATTGTAATTGCGTCAAAATGATAAAATTTTCTCTATGGTTAGGTGGCTCTCAGTTCGAACTTCCGCTCGGTTTAATTTATATTCATCCATTGATTAATTAATATAAACACGTCTACTTTACTCAAAGAGTCGTTTATATAAGGGTCATATAGGTTTATTTTTAATGTTACATGATACTAAATGAATTTGAACCTAATACCTTATTCCCCCTAATATGTGAATTTATGATGGTTTAGTTTTTTAAAAGAGTTAACTTAGGAATTTTATACAATGATTTGAAGTAAGGTAATTTGAAGTTTTTACCTGCTATAATAGGTTTCACAGGTCGCATTACGTAAAATAAAATAGTCACCGTTAGTCATTTCTACATTTGTCCTCTTTTCAATATGTTGCGTTTTGGACCACTTACTGAGATACTTTGTAGTCAACAATTGAAAAAGTGAAAACATTATATTTATCAACAATATGTACAAAATACATAATCAACAAATTTTTCCGGTCAACAGGCCGGGTCCGGTGCTAATATATATAGAGATGGTAAGTCGCTTAATATAACGTGGGGAGTCGGTTATTCATGTGCAACGTATACAATGCATAACTTCTATGTTGCAATTTTTTTTATTGAACTTCTACTTTCCAAATTGAACGTGTTTGAACAAACAAATTGACGTTGACCAAATCGACCCGAGTGTGTCACACCTAAATGGATAATTGAGCATAAGCTGGGCTTTTTGGGTTATCAAAAGTGGGCTTCCGATCTCCTTAAAATTTAAAGGAAATTCTTAACCCATTTTCAGACACAACTCAGCCCGATATTCTGTTTTGCTTCTCACACTCATTGATCCACTAGTTATGCCCCGACCAATAAATTTCGTGTCTTATCTTATTTCACAATTATATTTAAATTAGAGTTAACAGTATTTTGTACCCCTAAATAAATTAGCAAATGTACCCTTTTAATATTAAAACGTAACAAGTATACGCTTCCATCCAATTATCTGTTAAATGGCCGTTAAAAGGATTTAACTTAATTACCCCCTCATGTATTCCTAAATACTCCTAATTTAATTTTTACTTATTTTATGTCCAAAATCAATTAATTGAAAAAATCAACCCTAAACTAATTCACACTCGACACAAGCCGTCTATCTCCCTATCGATTAGTCTCTCCACTCGGCGGCGCCGCTCCCAGCATCTCCTTGCCGGGGTATCTCCTCTCTCATCCAAATCGAAAACCTTCACCACCCACTCCATCTAGCAACTAGCATGCATTCCCTTAGTAAAAAAGATACTAGCTACTAGCTAGCATGCATGAATATCCAGAGAGAGGTGATTAATCAATGGTGTTCGCTATATATCGGACTCTTCAGTCTTCACTAATTAATTAAGCAGGGATCATCAAATTAGCTTGGTTTAGGTAGAGAAGAAGGTCAAGAGAGAGAGAGAGATCAACGCATTATTAATGGGAGGAGAGTAGTAGCTGCGCCGCCTGCAAGCTCCCCCGCCGAAGATGTGCCGAGGATTAATGCCCCTTCTCCCCTCACGAGCCCGACAAGCTATCCGCCTTCCATATATGTGGTCTTTTTTCTCCGGTAATTGGGTATCCATTATATTAAGCTCCATTTTGATCAAAGTGATCAAGCTCTCGAAAACTAAACATGTCCAATATATGTGGTCTTTAATATATGTTTATGCAAACGTATAAAAGGGCGTGGAAAATCAAGACCTATGTGGATACTTAAGAGAATTGAGAAATTTTAAAAGTGTATAATGTGTTGTATTTAATTTATTATAGTATGGACTGTTTTTACCGTACCGTACCGGCCGGTTGAACCGGAAAAACCGGAAACCAGGCCAGTTCCGATACGGTACAGATTGCAAAGTTAGAATATGGTACCGGCCGGTATTTTGTGTTCGACCGGCCTGCCGCGAAATATCGGCCCGGTTTTGATCCAGCCGGCGGTCCTTCAATCCTAGCCAAAAAGTCATGTTTCGACTTAGGTTACCCAATTCGCCACCACACAGCCCACGTTCCTGCGCCAAAACGCGATTTTTGCGGAGTTCACTGGAAATTCGCGAACTACTTTCTGCGAGAGCGCGATTAGGGATTTTAGGAGCGCGATTTCTCCTCGAACCCAGAAAAGTAGCGCTGATCTTGTGGGAGGTAACCACCAGAAACAATGGATTTCACAACTACTCAAGCCTCATCAACCCCATCGACGCCACTCTGTCCCCAGCACTCCGCTCTTCGTCGTTCCATAGGTCGATCCATGCATGCAACAAGAAATAGCACAACAACCGCAAATCCTAGATTAATCCTCGTAGATCTATAGTAATAGAATCGAAATCGGGACTCAAAAGGTTCAGAGAATTATAGGAGAAGTTGAGACGAATGAGGCTCTGGGGAAGCCTAAGAAAGGAGCTGTCTCGTCGCCGATCACCGTCAACGCCATTTTTGATGTCTCTCTCTTGGCAGATCTGAGGGAGTAAGTAACTGCAGCGGGATAGAGTAGTTGCGTCGATTTATGCTTCTCCTTCTTGATTTATCAATTTTGTCATTCTGGAATTAAAGGCAGAGAAGAAGAAGAAAAGAAAGACAGAGAGAGAAGCAGAGGACGAGCTCGTTGTTTGAATAGAAAAGGGTTGCCAATTAATCATTATGTCAATTAAATGATTAATTGGAGTCCCACGCCCATTTCCCAATTCCCAAGCCACGAAATTGAAAGTTGAAACTCCTTACAAAAATAAAAATAATTCAGTTATGATTTTCTATCCGGTATTTTTGTTATTATTCCGGTATTATTCCGGAATGGTACCATATTGTAGCCGGTACAGTTTTTTGACCAAAAAAATAATTTACTATTACAAAAAGGGCATTTACCGGCATGAAACGGTTGAACCACGATCGTACCACAAAATACCTTACCAATAAAGAATTCGGTATGACGTCCGGTACGGTTTCGCAATCCTTGGTTTTTTCATTGCCAACTTTCACTAGTGTTGACATTTTATGATCTATAATCAAGAAGTACCAAACTAACGGCAAATGAGGGATGAATATGAAATTTCGCTGGGAAGAGCTTCGGAATTTGAGAGTGACTGCATGTTTGCGTCTTTTCCTCATCCTCGTACGGGTGATAACTTTCCTTGATAATTACTTTTTTTTTTACAAATCCTTGATAATTACTATTGTTGTTTAATTCCTCGATATTGCCGTGTTGATTAGGAATAGTGGCTTCTACATTGGTCGGCCGTTAATTACTACTATTGTCGTTTTGATTCCGCATAAACTTTCTTTTATCTTGCAAGTCATAGGTGGTTTGGTCCCGTTTTCATCCCGAAAAAACGTCATTTGCTATTCCGAATGAGCAATTTTTTGATTTTGTCAAACTTTGGATGACCATAACTTTGTGCTCCGCTATCCAAACGTCATGAATCTTTTTTATTGCGCATAAATTTTTAAAGACTACAACTTTTACAAGGAATGAATTTTCAAAAAGAAATATTTTTAGATATACGGGATTTTGGGAATAACTTTGCCTTTACTTTTCACAAATCCACATACATTCTGAAATTATGGATATGATAAAAGTAGTAGTCCTTAAAAAATTATCGAAATAAAAAACAAATTATGACGTTCGGATTGCGGCACCAAGTTATGACCTTCCAAAGTTTGACAAAATCGAATATTGCTTATTCTAAGTAGCAAAGACGTTTTTTCGAGATGAAAATGAGACGAAATTGAATTTAGACCTTCAACAAACTGGTA